TGCCTTTGAGACACGTTTTACGTAAGGCAAGTTCTGAGGTATACTAAAGACTCCATGATCATCTCTCCTCACAGTATGTGGATGGAACACATTTGGTTGGCTTGAGATAAAATTACCTGGTCTAGGGAAAGATTGTCACCTTCTGCTTTTTCTTTTAAATATAGGAATATATTAAATAGAAAATTGTAAGTTAAACTGCAGCAACAAAACCAAACCAAAACAATCTATTCAGACTCAGCCTCTGAAACCATGAAGAAACCAGTTACTATTTTCTTTGGAATCCAATGATAAATAGATTAAGACACCAGGAGCACAGGTCCCTCAACCCAAGTCTTAACAGAGAAAGAATTCTTTTTTCAATACAGTAAAAATCACATCAAGGCTTCATACTTCTGAATGCTTTACTAATGATTAAGAAAATGTATAATGCGAAGGATATGGTTAACATACCGTGATAGTTAACTTCGTATATCAACTTGGCTAGGCCATGGTACCCAGATATTTGGTCAAACACTACTCTAGATGTTGCTATGAAGCTATTTTTAAAAGAAGAGATTAAAATTTAAATAAGTAGACCTATTTAAAGAAAATAAAACAGACTACCCCCCATAATGTGGGTGGGCCTCGTCCAATCAGTTGAAAGCATTAATAGGAAAACACTGACTTCCTTGGAGGAAGAGGGAATTCTTCCAGCAGCTAGCCTTCAGACTTGAATAGCAATTGTTCCCTGGGTCTCCAGGCTGCCAGCCTACCCTGCAGATTTTGGGCTTGCCTCCACAATTGTGGGAGCCAAGTCCTTAAAATAAATCTCTCTATACATCCTATTGGTTCTATTTCTCTGGAGGAACCATGACTGGTACACATAATGTGGTAGGTTATTACCACTGTTCACCAGTATTTCTGCTTGTCTCTCCCGGGTCCATGAAAGGATTATACTTTTCTGAAAACTTAAAGTAAGCCCTGACCATGTAACTTGCTTTGCCTAATAATGGGGCAGAAATGACACTAGCTCTAAGCAAAAGGTTTTAGGAGCCAGGGAGTGATTCTTTATGCTCTTCCCCTGCCGCAGCAGATGCTGAGTCCTCAGGTCGAGGTGGTGGAAACATAAGGTGCTGCCTCCCTCAGCCTGGACCCCCAGGTGACCGCAATCAGCGGAATCCCACCTATGGGCCCCTGTGCACATGGAGCAAGAGTAAGATCATTAGTTGTTTCAAACCACTGAGATTTGGGGTTCGTGACTAACACACTACTGTGGGCGGGGTACAAGGAGCCCTGTATCCCAGCAACATCCACTCAACCGTACATATTACACATTTTTAATTTTTTCATTTTTCCAAGTTCAATAAAACATCTATTTGACATAAACACTGAATAGTGACTTGAAATACCGTATGCACATGATGGTAATAAAATTGTCTCTAAGATTCTTACGTGAACTTTTCATAAACTGACCTCTCCTTTAATCCAAATTATTGGTATAAAATATTGCCAAACGCACCAGCATCCATTCCATTATAAAACTTGGAACAAATGAAGCCCATGTGAATTTGAACATTTGTGTAACCTAGGCATTGAAAACTAGTCTATCCCAAGTGCTTCAGTGTTTTATATTTCATGAAGTTCTTAGAATATGCCTCTGCCTTTCTAGCTGCTATAACTCCCAAATTACTATGAAGAAAATCCTTTAATGCTGCAGGTGAATCAAAATGGATCTTCAAATAGGAAAAAAAAAAAAAAATCCAACATGATTGTTCAGCTAAACCACACAAAGGCTGGCTTTTGCTAGGGGAAGGAAAAAAAACCCAAAGATCGGAGGCTGAACTACCTGGGTCTGTGGGTAAATAAGGCATAGTTACGTTCAGATTTCAAAATTACCCAGTCCTGAATTTCAAGATACGGACAGTTGAGATGATCAAATCCATCTAAAATGTTCAGATTTTTAAAAGAATTCTGACTATTTTGGCCCAATTTTTTAAAAAAAGGATGGAGAGTACCATTTTCCCCCATAAATACCCAAACCTACAAACTCAGTATGGAAGGTGTGAACGACGTCATATTTCCTTTTTTATCTACCCCCCATAAGGTATAGCACAGTGCCTGTCTACAGCTGTCATCCAATAAATGCTAAATTGGTTTCTGTCACCACATTCTCAAATCCCCACTCCCTGGCCACCTCCCACATCTTTAAAAGGAAGGACATAACAGGTATAATAAGAGAGGGCTTTCTCCATGGTCCTGTCATACATGGCACGTACCACTCTCATCGTCCACTCTTGCATTCTCACCCCCACTCTTGGCTAACTGGACTTCAACAGTGAGTCTAAGTTAGTCGGTCAACAACAGAGACACAGCTGTACTGCTGGGTACTGGTGGTACAACAGACAGCAGCGATTGGAATTAAGGGAGTTGCTGGATATTCAGACCCCAGAGGTCAGGACTAACCCTGCCACTCTTAGGTGGTGTCTACCTCCACAATGGTCACGCGCAAGCTTAGGAAAGACAGACAGGGGCACGCCACTGAGCACACGACCTCCTGAAACCAGGTCGGTGGGGAGAAAAACTGCAGTTTGTTTTCCTTTCACCAACAATTTCTCTTTGTGGAGAAAAAAAATAATAGTTAATGCAGTTGGGCTGTGGGGAACAGTAAGGCCACAGCATGGGCTGGGATTTACCTCTGAATATAAGCTAGCCAGTACTCTGGAGGATCATCTGCTCGGAGGACAAAGGTCAGTGCAATCATGGGCGTGTCTGCCTGCAGTAAGGGAACAATCTGGATCTTTGGCCTGGAATGCTGTACTGAGGTCACCCAAGAGTCAGTGATTATCAAAGACAATTTTACCCCCTAGAGGTTGCTTCCACTCTTACAGATTATTATAGCCTCCAGGGTGATAAGCCTTACACAACAAGTCCAATGCTGCTGCACTTTTAGACCTTAAGGAAATCCCGTAAGCATTTGTTACTATTATTAATTAAGCATAATTAAGCACTCCTAGCATGCATTCCATATTGCCTTGAGCAGAAAGCTTCAGATGTAAACCATCTTTCAATAACATTCCCTTCCTGAATGCTGAGATGAGAACATGAAAATCATACCACATGTCTGCCATCTGTATTTGTACTTGTCAACAGCTCTGTTTTGGGATAAACAGCTTTGAAATAAGAATCAATTCAACTTGTTGGAAGATTAGCCAAGGAATAGCTCAAAGACCAAAACAGAACGTGAAGTCAGATAGTCTGAAAAATCAAGCACAATTTTGTTTCTCACTCAACATTCTGTTTTGTCACAGCCCAAGAGAAAGAGTGTGGCAGCCAGGGTTTGGGGGCACAGAGACAGGGAAAATGTTATATCCTCAAGTAAAAAATTCTTCAACCTGGAACAAATGTCTTCGCTACAATGTAACTAGAAATCATTCACTGACCTCTAGAAGACTACAGTTAAGAACAAAGCAATTTTAGCATTTACACTGTGTTTCATGGTTCTACTATGTGAAGGTATACACAAGGGACGACTTGCACGGGTCCAAGTGCATAATACACTCCTTTATTAGCATAAAAATGGCAGCATTTCCCAAAGTCGATCTTGATTAAAAGTAGTTCCATGGTTGAAAACAGTACTCCATTGTAGAGCTATTAAACTAGAGAGATGGCAAGGGGAAAATAAAGACTCATATACCAAAGGGGAGGTCAGGGAAGAAGTTAGAAAAAATAGGATGCTACAGATTGGTGGGAGACTACAATGGAATTGCTTTTAGAGGTGGCTGATGTAAGTGAATGAAGGGACATGATAACCTGGCAGCCCCACATATTCTACAAAACAAATGAGAACATGTATGCTCCACTTGGAGGGCCATCCATTTTCTCCTCAAAAGAACTCATTTATAAAAGAGCAAATTGGTGATTTGTACTTACAGACTGGACCCTTTCCAAGCCCCTGTCAAGAAGTGATAAATTATTGAAGCATAGCATAAAGTGTTTTATTTTCAGTGTGCACACGGTAAAACCCTGTGAAATCTTTCTGTTCACCTTTCCCAAGTTATTAATTAAAAAATAATTGTTTCAAATTACTCTCTGATCTTTAAAATAAACCAAGACAAAACACTACATACACCTCTCCAGAATCAGCACTGCCACTTCCCTCCCTCCTTCTCGATCCTGCCCCCATATCCTTCAACCAGGCAGTTGTTTCAAATCACACCACCAGCTCCTGAAACAGGAATGCTATTTAGATTGGGGAGGGAGGGAAGAGGAAGTCCAATACAACATTCACACTATTGTCTGGTATTCATTCAACCACAGTGCCCAGATATATTTGTTTTTCCTAGAGACAGCGTAAAACTGTGGAGAATACAGCAGGGTTGTGGAAAGCTCATTAATAAATTGTGAAAACCCTCTCAGCAAGAGTCATACAACCAGAGGAGCTGCCTTGTGCCAAGCAACATAAAGCCTGGTGCTCTGCTCCTGGTCAATGTCACATGCAAACACAGCTGATTTTTGAGAAAGGCCTCCCTACAGCCACTTGCTAAGCAAGTTAGGAAAAATTCTTTCCCAATCTCAGCTTGGCAATTAGAACCTGAATTATATTTACAAACTCTAGGCTTTGCTTTAATCTGACTGTGAGAGATGTAAAGGAATGGCCCCTCCCCTACTGTGTTCATAAACTGAGAGAATAACATTGATGCCAATGCTCCTGAAAGGGAGCAGGGAAACCTAAAAAGTCTAACTGCATAGGAAATGCAGGGGGGCTGCTGACAGGAGGGCCTTCTCCTCCCTCTTGCTCATCTTTAGGATTTCTCCAGCACCTCAATTCAAATTCCCACTCCTTATGTGCAAGTGGCACTCTTAGCTCTCTAATTCTGTTTTCTATTTAGGTGACTCAATCAGTGGCTGAACTTCTGATCTTGTGGCCCCTTTTCGCAGCTTCAGACTGAAACTGGATGCCTTTTAGAACATATTCACCCAAGGATTTTGTATAACAGAAAAGGATGCAATAAAAGAGGATACCTCTAAAATGTTTTAATTATATGCCCATACATTATATAAAATATTTGCATCACTTTAGCTGGATATGAAAAGCAAGTCAAATGAAATGACGCTCCTCGAAACTTAAGTTAAAGAATCTTGTAGGAAGAGATATATTTTGTCTTTTTTTTATTCTTTTAGCATTCTGTACACTGACAACGAGGTATAATGACTGAAACTTAAATGTGACAGAACATTTCACAATTAAATCCACAATTGTGTACATTTGTCTTACATGTCAGTGAAAAATCACCAACTATTATAAAAACAGGACAAACTGTATCACAAAAGAAGGAAAAATTAGAAAAAATTCATAAAAAAATATATCCAACTATGAAAAGCGTTGCTCTTTTGGTGTCTTCACATCCGTCTCTTCTGTGTACTGATGTACAACACTGAAAAGAAGAAAATACATAAATTGAAATAATAAAAAAAAAACCTGCTTGTAAGTATACATAGCAGCATGTTTAAAAGCCAATAGGTTTTGGTCTGATACATCTGACGTTTAAAATGAATTCTCATATCATTCAATTAACTCTAGAAGTACTATGACACTAGTTTTATGAATCTACATCCGGGTTTGATGTCTATCCTAATCTCATCCATGTGTCTCATTTACTCTGCAAAGTGTGACTAGGAAGATAAAATAAAATATATGTGAAAGTCCCTGGCATCTAAGAATGCTTTATAGTTAGAAGTATAAGAATTATGCTTTTCAGGGCTGAGCACGGTAGTTCACGCCTGTAATCTCAGCGCTTTGGGAGGCCAAAGCAGGTGTATCACTTGAGCTCAGAAGTTCGAGACCAGCCTGGGCAACATGGTGAAATCCCGTCTCTACCAAAAATACAAAAAAGTTAACTAGGCATGGTGGTATGCACCTGTAGTCCCAGCTACTTAGGAGGCTGAGGTGGGAGGATCTCTTGAGCTTGAGAGGCAGAGGCTGCAGTGAGTTGAGACTGCACCACTACACTCCAGCCTGGGCAACAGGGCGAGACTTCATCTCAGGGAGAAAAAAAAAATGCTTTTCAGAAAGTAAATCAGTAAATCTAACCAGGTTAGATCTCAAATTAAGAATAAACAACGTATTTTCATCTATCTCTCCAATACAAACTCTAAACTTGGTGTTTACCTTCTAAATTGCAACACTTAGATAAACAAGAGCTGAGGAGTTTATTTTTTTTTAATGATACTAAAAGTCCTTATTCTGAGTTCCTTTTAAAGTCTCATACTTTGATGTTACCCAATGTTCTGCTTAGCTGGTCCTCTCACGACTACCAGACTGAACTCTTACGATGTGTGGTTTGTAGGAATGAAACAAAATGAAATGCTTGGGTCACTTTGGCTAAACTAGAGGTGGCTCTCCCTTCCACCCTGCATGCCTACTCGGCTTCTGAGAGGCCTGCTCAAAGTGAACAGTAAGGTGTCTTCATCAAAGAACATAGCACAGATCAATCAAATAAGTCAAGATCCTCTTTAAGAGCCAATGATGTGAACTAGGGAGTCTAAAGATGAGTGTCACGGATTACATCATGGGAAATGTGACATGAAGGGAAGCATCAGAATGCACAGTACAGCCACCCCCCAACACTGGCCCCCAAGTCCTAGGTGTAGTGTGCACATTAAAGGATCTACCCTATCAACATGCACAGAACCCAACCTGCTGGTGACTGCTGCTATTAGCTGTCTTGAGGCGAGGCAAGATCATAACATTTCTTAGGAAAAAGAGGAGGTCAAATAAGGATATGAAAAATAGGGTAATTCTATAAATAGAAAGGACTAGAAAGTCAGGAAATAATGTATGTAAAAATATGATATGAAGAAATATGGTACTGTAAGCACAGGGGACAGACTATTATAAAAGTCAGGAAGTTTAGTTTATAGCAAAGAGATCCAACTATTTAGGGGGTTGAAGACATCCAGAATTAAAGAAATCAACAAAAAATCTGAACTCAAGAATCCCAGAGTTTCATTTGGGAGATGGAACCAAGAAGTAGGGTAATTCTCGTAATTCTGTTATTTTTCCCTCCCCACCAAAAATACAAATATGACTTTATCATAATTTTCATTTTGAAACTAAGTACTTAAAAATAACTATAAAAATCATAGCAATTTATTAGTTGTTAAAAAACTGAGTAACTTTATTTTTTCTATTTTGCCATTTTTGCCAAATCAAAGGATGCAAATCTGCACAGAAAGCATCTGAATGTTTAATAGAGAAGGGACAAATAGGACAAACTGCCAAATTATGCAAATTAAAGACAGCAGGGAAATGGTGCCCATTCTTACAGCTGCAACTTCCAGGCTACAAGAAGCAGGAATATGTGTTGGGGAGATAATAATACACTATATTCAAGAGAGCAGGGTTCCGGGTCAGGAGCACAATGCCCCCAGTTCCTCATCACTAAAGGAAGGGAAGGAGGGAATTTTAGTTTAAAAATTCCATGATGTATCTAAAAAAATAACTGGTCAAACTGACATATAAGCATTTTAAAATAATCAAGCGTAAAACTGGACTTTTAAATTATCTAGTAAACTCTTTGGTGATCTGGATTATAAACAGAAAGGCTTATTTTGAATGAATGCTTTACTGTAGGGTGAAGAAATGTTACCATTGTTTCCTCGGATAAATGCATCCCCATACTTATTCTTCAGTTGTCCATTTACATATTCTTCTGTCTGCTCCAGGGCTATATTCATGTAGCCATCCAGGCAAGCCAGGACCCCTGTAGACATATTTAGTCAAAAAGAAGAAATACAAGGCAAGTAGGAGTTGAAAATTACAGGGTATACCTTAGAGCAGACGATCTCTTTATTCATTAGCTCTTAGATGCTTAATAAAAGAATTCATATCATAAATGAAACTCAACAGCTTAAGCACAAAACAACTCTAGGCCAATTTGAATGAAGACTAGGAAGGCAGTCACGCACCCACTACTACCCAGTAAAACAACAAACTGTCACTTCCCTCACGGTATGTATGACCACATAGCAACTTTTAAAGCATTCAAAAAAGTAAGAGAATAACACTAATCCAACAAAAATACCATTCTGTGAAAGCTAAGCACAAGGTGGGCAATTATGCATGAACAAATGATCCTTGGTTCCAATGGCATTTCCTACTTCAGCCACTAAGTGAAATACGGGTCTGGCAGATTTATTTCATCCTTTTACAACATCTATTGCAGCAGATGAATGTACTCCAGGGTTAAAAGGAAGTCTCCACAATCTGTTAAAATAATAGAAGAGGAGACAGCAGGTGCTCCCGAAAGAATATCTTAAAGCTGTGACTCACAGTGAAGAGCAGCTTGAGAATATAGGGCAACATATTGCATTATAACACATCTTGTTCTGTTTTGTTACAGCTATAATATTTTCCAATCAAAACTAATAGAGAAAATGGCCAAAAACATTTGAGGGAGCTTTCAAGGAAACAGTTTGAGTGAATCTTTAATTGTGTTAAGATGGTATAAATTTTGTAAAATTTGACCTAATGATCTTTTTCAAAAGATGAAAATCTGCAAGCCTCTAACTCTGTCTCTAATTTAAAGTGGTATTTTCTAGAAAAAAAAATTTAAATAAAAACAAATACTAGATTCAAATAGTCGAGTCTATAGTTTCTCATTTGATGTCTTAACTTCATTAATATGCTCCTCACTCTCTGCCTCTGCCCCCATTATCCTCTAAACAAAAAAGTTTCCTTTCAAAATTGTGTGTGTAATGACAGCATAAGACATTAATCTACCAGAATTCTGCTAAAAGCGGTAAACTCTCAAAGAACCAGAATGGACTGTGAATAATAAAATTATTTCCTAGCCAAAGAAAGCTTAAGCTATAACTTTAGCTCATTTCCTGCTGTATTATTTTACATATAAGCCACAATTATAAATGAGCAAGAAACTTCTGAGGCACAATATGCAAACCTGTTTGAAAACTAATGAAAAGAATTTCAAAATGAAATGTCCAGGCTGGGCACAGTGGCTCACGCCTGTAATCCCAGTACTTTGGGACGCAGAGGCAGGCAGATCACTTGAGGTCAGGAGTTCAAGATCAGCCTGGCTAACATGGCGAAACCCCGTCTCTACTAAAAATACAAACATAAGTCGGGCGTGGTGGCGGGTGCCTGTAACACTAGCCACTCGGGAGGCTGAGGCAGAAGAATCATTTGAACTTGGGAGGCAGAGGCTGCAGTGAGCCAAGACTGAGCCACTGTACTCCAGCCTGGGTGACAGAGTGAGACTTGGTCTCAAAAAAAAAAAAGAAAAAAAAAGTTCACTTCTAATTAAAGTATCTATTCTCACAGCAAAGGCAAAAAACAAAAAACAAAACAAAAAACAAACAAACAAAAAAACAAAAAAACTGCCCAGGGGCTTAGAAATATAACCGTTTCCTTCTCCATGAGATAACCTACTATACATAACCAAAACAAGACATTTTCTTACACAGAAACTGCTACAGAGAGTTGGAGGTTTTTCTTGTATGTTGTGTTTTGTTTTGGGGTTTTTTTTTTTTTTTGGTGTTTTGTAAACCACAAAATAAGCACGTTCTTTTAGTAAGGCTATCTAATAGTATAGAACATTTTGTTTTAATCGTATAAAGGCCACGAACAGACAGTCATAAGAGGAAAAAAAATTATGGTTACTATCCATGTGAAAGACTGCTGAATCTCACTAGTAAACAAATAAAATATATGTAGAATGAGATATTACTTGTGGCCAATTAGATTGGAAAAGATGAAAAAAAGCTAATACAAGAGTTGGTGAGAACATGAAGGATAAACCCAGGTTCTCTGAAGCAGGGCCATGGAATACTCTCTGACTTGTAAATCCTAGCTCAGGGAATTGATTCTAAAGAGATGCTTGGTCAACTGTTCACAATATATGTCAAAGTAAAAGAGTTGTTTACAGTGGCAAAAAACTGGTCAACACCTAAATGTCCATTAACAGGAAACTGGTTAAAAGTAAAAACAAAACTATGGTACAGCCACACAAGAGATTCCTATGCAGTCATTAAACCCTCTATATTGTCATAAAACTAAATGCATTGTTTCATGTTTAAAAAAAAAAATCAGGTTGCATGTACAGCTGATTCCATTTATGTCAAATTATGGTTATATAGAAGTCAAAACTGGTAAACTGTCTCTGGATGGTAGCATTGGGGAGACTTGGCTTTCTTCTATATACTTTTCTCTATTATTTCCTTTTACATTTCTAAAATTAAAACAAAACTAAAACATGTATTACCTTTATAAATAGAAAAATTTTCCCTAAAGACTACAGAGAAAAAAGGTCAGGCTGGTTCATCTCTTCAATAAAGTGGGTACTGAGAAGATATTGAACACAATGTCCTCACTTTAATCAATTGTCAGATTAAAATCCCTAGAAGTCTATTACTTCCTATGGGGCCATCAAAAGTTCACAGGTGAGAGGCAGTACAGGAGACATTATAGTACCTCAGTATTCCATATGAATCCATTAGTTTTACTATAAAAATAAAATTAAACTGGAGATATGTTATTAATGGCAACAAGCTAAGGGAGCACATAATCACCAGAGTGGTTTCTTAACCAGGCTTATGAGCTGAGCCTGAACTTGAGTCCTAGCTCCTCCTTTACTATGTGGGGATGGTCAACAGAGATTTCAAAGGAAAAAGCTCAAGAGATTACTATGATGATTAATTATTCAGAAAAGAGACCAAGAAAAGGCCACAAAACCCTGTGCTATGGTTTGAATGTGTGCCCTCCAAAATTCAGGTGTTTGGCAATGGGACAGTATTAAGAGGTGGGAGCCTTTAAGAGGCAAGCAGACCATGGGGACTTGCCCATTAACAGGATGAAGGCCTGCATAAAAAAAGGCTTCATGCAGTGTGCTGGTTTGCCCTCTGCCTTCTGCCACGTGAGGACTCAGCATTCCTCCTCTCCGGAGGATGTAGCCCTCACCAGACAACTGAACCTGCTGGCACCTTGATCTTGGATTTCCTAGCCACCAGAACTGTGAGAAAATAAACTTCTGTTTTTGAAAATCACCCAGTCTAGAGGCGGAGCTTGCAGTGAGCCGAGATCGCACCACTGCACTCCAGACTGGGCGACAGAGCGAGACTCTGTCTCAAAAAAAAAAAGAAAGAAAGAAAATTACCCAGTCTAGTGTACAGTGCTCAGGTGACGGGTGCACCAAAATCTCAGAAACCACCACTAAAGAATGTATCTATATACAAAAAAACCACCTGTACCCCAAAAACTACTGAAATAAATTTTAAAAAAACGCACAAAATAAAAATTACCCAGTCTATGGTATTCTGTTAGAGCAACCCAAGAGACCAAGTCACTCAGATAATGAATTAGTTAGCTACGCCTGTGAAATATTTCAGGTAACTTAACATACCTTAGTTGTGGAAGATAAGAAATTCAGTAACTTTAAAAAATGGAATCTGAAACCATTCTTCCTATAAAGTTAATTTCAAAAGCACTGCAGCCTCTTAAAAATAATATTCTCTCCAAGAACAGAAAGGCATTTTTTTTTTGAGATAGTCTCACCCTGTCGCCCCACACATTATACGTTATATAAGTGGGATATTCAGGTTGTAAAATGATACTCAATAGCCACCTGCCAATCTTGAATACTCCTGCAAAAACAAATGCTGCTGCACCAAGATGTTCTTCAGTTGAGTTGTTCATACCTGAGTTTACTAGGAATACCTTGCTATTACCAGGGAACTTAGGCACGGATGATCTAAAAGCAGACAGGAGACAGAAGTCACACAAATCACACTGAAAGGCAGAAGCACATGCTATACTGTCAGAGTTGTCCTTCTTAAAGGAATGACCGGCTCAGTTGTCTGGCCCTGCCGACCCACGACCCACGACCCACTGACCCACGAATCAGCCCGGCCGTCGTGTGCACCATGTCTGGCTCCTCCAGTGTCGCCGCTATGAAGAAAGTGGTTCAACAGCTCCAACTGGAGGCCAGGCTCAACTGCGTAAAAGTTTCCCAGGCAGCTGCAGACTTGAAACAATTCTGTCTGCAGAATGCTCAACATGACCCTTTGCTGACTAGAGCATCTTCAAGTACAAATCCCTTCAGACCCCAGAAAGTCTGTTCCTTTTTGTAGTAAAATGAATCTTTCAAAGGTTTCCCAAACCACTCCTTATGATCCAGTGAATATTCAAGAGAGCTACATTTGAAGCCTGTGCAAAAGCTTATCCCTGTAACACATGTGCCATAATATACAAACTTCTACTTTTGTCACTCCTTAACATCTACCTCTCTGAATTTTCATGAATTTCTATTTCACAAGGGTAACTGCTTTATATACACTGGCAGCAGCATACAATAAAACTTAGTATGAAAAAAATAAATAAAAGGAATGATATGAGAGGTAGAAAAAGAGATATGCATAAAAACTGCTGATGACCCGTACTTTTTTGGTCTATTGGGTATATTTAAGAGGTTAATAAAAATCAGTGAGTCACATTTACTTATTCAGTTACACCAGTGAGAATGAAACATGAAAATATTACCTCGATAATCCACTCCAGAATTTAATTTTACCACAACCGGTCGTCCGATGATTTGCTTTAAGAAGTCACTAGGGGTTTGCTTCCGAAGACTCATTTTAACAATCCTAAATCAAAATATGAAAAGGAATAATAAAAAGTAAAGACCAAAGCTGATTATTCAACAAAACCCTTACAGCCCTTAACATACATACAGAAAATGAAGTATTAAAGGACCATGTGAGAAGACACGTATTACTCCACTGCTACTACATGACGGGTAACATGTTTTCAGTACTTACTATGAGCCAGATACTAAGCTGAATATTCTATATGCATTACTTTATTTAGTTCTCACAACACCATGGCATAGCCTCATTAGGAAAAGTCCTGTGTTTACAAAGCACCTGCTCTTAATCACTTATCATTACTGCCTGACACACAGTCAGTATACCCATTACAACCACTACCACCTCCATTCAGTGAATGGTTGGTTATTTTATGCGGAGCATTCTGCTAAGGTCTTTATAAACACTACCACATTTCATCTTTACAAGAACCCTGGGAAGAAGGTCTTAATACCCTCATTTTGCTGATGAAAGTAAAGGCACAGAAAGATTAAATAATTTGTTCCCAAATGTGACGGAACATTCAAGTTCAAATCAGCCCTATTTTAAAGTCCATATTATATAGAACAGACACATTTATGAACAACTGATGCCTACATGGTATCTCTGAAAAGAATTATAATCTAATGGTAATTTTGAGTGTACTATATGCCAGCACTTTTCCAAGAACTTTGTATGTATTAATCCATTTAAATTGCTCTACCCTAAAAGGCAGGTATTGTTTTTATGCTCATTTTACACATGAAGAAAAAGACACAGAAAGATTAAACACTCTGCTCAAGGTCACACAGCTAGAAAGCGGACAGCCAGCCCATACTCTTAATCACAACCTTAAACAGCCTTCTGAAAGGCAATAACATAGCCAAAGATTTTTAATTATTCTACTATGACTATAACAGATATGTGCTCTAAATAACAAAGAAAAAGTCTTAAAACTCAAGAATAATGGGAGTCTAACATAGAAAAAGAGATAGCATTACACACCCAAATCAACAGTATCAGACATGCAAAGCTGCACATCACTCCTTTCAAAATGCATCTTTTCTTATATAACAGCTCTCTTTCAAAATATGCTGGCAAGTTAATAAGACTGTAGTTAAGCAAAAACTGAGTAAAAATATTTCAGAAATTAGTGTTTCTGTTTCAGTCAAATTCAGCATCACTATTATTCAGCAGCTATATAGCACTGAGACTTAAAAATTAGTATGGAAACACTATTTTAAGGATTCCCTCCAAGAACTCAAGCTGTTCTTTTGTTTTCAATGAAATTTTTTCATTAAACATTCTTCCATTATGCTTATTTCACTCTAAGTCCATCCACTCAATAATCTGAATTTGTGAGGAGAAGGATTATTTAGAGATGTTCTCATAGTGAATTCATACAGGATCAGCAGATGTAGTAAGCTGGAACTCCAGGTTACTGGGTTCAACAAACATATATGTGTACACACTGTGCAAGGAAATTCAAAAACATGTCATATACAAAGGCTCTGTCCTTAAAGAACTTAAAATCTAGAAAAATTTAAACTTGTTTAAACAGTGTGAATAAACAAAAGCAATCGTAATTTAAGTAAAATAATTTTCTTTAGCCAAGAAAAGTCAACATCCTAAGTCAAATAAAAGAAAATACAAATTTCAGAAATTATTTTTGAATTTTGGGTTATCATTTGGACAATCTACACTGCCCCCAAGGTTTGAAAGATGTTTTTAAAATGCGATCAAGTAATTATTTTGCTCAACAAATGTTAATTTAACCTTCCCATTTAATTTCCAGCTTATTTTTTTAGCTCCACAATCTCAACAGATAACTACAATTACAACTACTATTACAATTACAATTACAACCACTATTCAGGACAACCACTTTTCATTCAGGACTCAGATCACACAGCAATTTTATTTATACTGTTCTGAGTACAAAGTGAAAAATTGCAAAGTAAATACTGTAACAGATTCATTACCTTTAATGAGTTTAGTGAAAATATACAAATCTTCCTATTCATCTATAAACCGCCTTATTTACGTTTTGAACACGTGCTGTTTTGAGGCTGAACACATCTAGAGAGAACATTAACTCCGAAGGCCTGATACTCAACTGATGAGTCAGGTTCATCTCCTATCACAGATACTAAATCCCAGTATGCCACAGTTTCATCATGTATAAAACTGAGAGGAAAGTAGCCACTTTATGTTAAAAACCACTAAAATACATTGTAATGTGACTCTAGTTCACAGAGATATTAACTACTTTAATTATTACTAATTTCACCTACTCATAGAGTATTTACAATTTCAGATTAAAAACATCTGAAAAGCAAAAACTGGGAAGAGTTAATAACTGTCAGAAAAAAGAATGCAAATCTTGACTATCAGTTGCTTGACAGTACAGGTTATTTTAAAGGTATTATTAACTTTCCACACCTTTTAAAAAACACAGACATGTTCTTCTAAGCTCACCAAAGATAACACCTTGTCTATTACGCCTTATCTGTATTCCAATTAACATCAATCTCTTCCTGAAGGCAATCAACACTTCCAACTTTCACGGAGCACCTGTCAAGTTCAGGTACACGGGGCTGGGAAATGTAACACAAAGACAAGGCCTTAAGCCCTCAGAGTTTACATTCTACAGAGGGCAAAAAACGTGTAAATAGAGAATTTTACAAAGGTGATGTATATTCTGATAGAATTATGCACAAAAGGGCAGAGAACACTCTCTTATCCCAGGCTTGGCAGATCAAAGAAGAATTTCTGGAAGCTAACACCTGAGCTGAGTTTGAAGGAAAAGGCATCACCCTCCAGCTGAAAGAGAAGTCAGAAAAGGCACAGGACATGTGCCTGGGTAGAAGGTAAAATCTACATAGGCAAGGAGGAGACGCCTCTGAGGCAGGGAGCTGTGCAACATTCACAGGAGCACGGAGTTCAGGCTCTGGGTCAGTTTCCCAAACTTGAATCATTAGGATCAGCTGGAGATTCTACTCAGTAGTTCTGGGGTAGGAGCCAGGAATCTATTTGAACAAGCCTAGGAAATAACTGGCAAGGGGAAATACTGTTGTCAATGATAGGAAACAGGGATTTTTAAGCAGGAACTTGCTTGGATTCCACTCTCTTCTTTCCATAGCAGAGTGGAGATGCCCATCTCACCTAGTTTTGGCATCACAGTTTGGCATTTGATTTTATTTGCTATAACCTGTCACTACGCCCTCTTTTGTATTCTTTATGTGGGTCTTTTCTCTCTCAAAATACTGTAAGCCACATGACAAGAGGGGCTCACAAGCTTCTCATCTGTTCTCTAGAATATCTACATTCTACTAAATCTCTTGGGAAAAAATACTTTTAAGGTTATTTGGAAAAGAGTATATGGGTTGCCTCAAACACATTTTATCCATCACTTTAGGAAAGCCATATCTTTTACATTAGTCTTCATTAGGCTTCCTTGGTACTCCCTGTTACTTAATGACTTGCCCATAAATCCATTTTGTATGAGTAAATTGGTCTTGACACCACAATTTTTCCCATCACTTGGCTCAAGTAATTTTAAGTTTTCATCTTTTAAATTGGGTAAGGCAGAAGGAACAGTTCTGACAATTTCTGAAGCAAGAGATGAGTCTCTTGAACCATAAACACATAAGAGGAAAAAGACCTTTCTTCAGGGTCACCTTGGTAAAACTTCTCCTTTCAAAATTAAAGTCATAATCACTCTCTATACCTCCTCTCCCTCCCCTGACTCCTACTCAGGCTTGTTGTAAATGACCTATTTTCATAAATGGCTATTAAGTCAAAGGCAGTATATTTTCTGTCAGAAGCTACTGAGAGGTCTAGAATGAAAAAACATCTGTGAAGTGCCCTGCACGGAATTTTTTTCTTTTTGGTAAGAGAATGAAGAAAAAAAGAACTTTTATTAATCCAACTATGTGCCACCAGCGTTAGATTCATAAGCAATTTACAGAGAAACCGTGTGAGGTGGAAAGCAAAGCCAAGACTGACCCCAAACCCCAAGCGCTTTCACAGGTACAGCTGCCTTCTGAATATGTTAAGATTCTCTGGTTAAATCTTGGGGAATCGCAATAGAGGCAGCGAGAAATCCAGTCGGAGAGTAGCAGCACTGGGGAAAAAAAAACCTAACGTGACAAAGTGCTGCAAATGAGCCTCAAAGTTTTCTTTGCGTTTGTCCGTTGTATTTCTATCTCATGTGATTCGGGTTATGCCACTGGGCAGAAGACATGAAAATCCTTATTTCTTGGCAATGTTTACCTGTAAGTTTTTACCTACTCCTAGCATATTTACAGTTTAGGGTGAAAAAAATTTGAAAAGCAAAAACTTGCAAGGAAACATTACAATCCAAGTAACTGCAGCACTAGACTAATAGATCAGTGTCTGAGGAGGCGATCAGACACGGAAAACAGCTCTCCAAGTCCTCCCATCTGACACAGTGGAGTGCCTCGCTGTCTTGTGAAGGCTTCATACCAATCCCTCCTTCCTGAGCAGCAGGCGCTACTTCTCTCCCTCTCTCCCAAAGGCGAAGTGAGTCCACTCAGAGCACCTCTTTCCACTCTCGGTCATGGTCCTTATCAGGCTGCTTTGTAATTTTTCCATTTGCTGACAGGTCTCCCATGGTGAGTTTTAAGCTCCTTGGGGACAGGGGAAATATCCTACTCACTTGGTATCCCTAGTACCTAAGCACACTGCCCAAGTCTGTGGAAGAGACATTCAAGGCCAGTGCCAAGCAAAATCCCTGTCCAGCCCCCAGCAACCCAAACTATGGATACAGTGACTAGTAGGATCATGCACGTACTTCAACAAATACTAACCAAGTAATCTCTATTAGGACCACCAAAGACGGAGAAAACAACCCTTTCTGTCATTCAAGAACCAGCTGTTTCCAAATCTAGAGATGCTTGTTAAAATGCAGATTCCTGAAGTCTACTCAGGTAAAAGCACTGTATTTTACATTTTATGAAGTTCTCCAGATAATTTATTTAAGCAAATGGTTCTCAACT